TACACAGATCATGCGTCATTACGCACTGCGACTCAGTCGCCTCACCTCTCGCAGAGGAAGGCCAGATGACTCTCATTCTTTGCAGAGTATAACTTCGAGGTGAAGTATAAGCCAGGAAAGTAGAATGCTTTGGCTGATGCGTTGTCATGCAGACCGGACTATGAACTTGCTCATGTCACGACGGGGTGACGTCGTCAGTGACGGATTTGATCCACGCCGTAGAAATTATCGGCTCGTTTACGCGCATGATAACACCGATATTCGTTAAATAACGGGTCGCTGTAGTATAGCACCGATTTGACGGAAACGCCACAAATTGTGGCTCTTCGCGATGAGAATGTGGAAAACCGTATCCTCAGTGAGGCCGACGACATCCAACTAAGTGGTCATCTCGGTCGTGAGAGGACGTACAGCTTTGTGAGTTGCCACTACTGGTGACCCAAACTGTACAAATGGACGGGTATGTATGTGCGCACGTGTGGTACGTATTAGATGGCGAAAATCTCTCCGAATGCGGCGGCGGTGCCGCTGGTCAGTTTACCTGGACCCTGTGGGTGTTGGCAGTCCATGGTATGGACTTTGTGTTTACCCTGCCGAAAAACTCGGCGGGCAACACGGGTGCAGTGGTCTTTATGGACCGTTTGAGCAAGACGGCTTATGGTGCGGCAATGCCGAACGCCATCGACGGTGTGGGTAAAGCGACGCTGTTTGTCGATCGTGTCTTTCGTCAACATGGGCTCTCGAAGTCAATTGTCTCTGACAGATACCTACGCTTCAATGAGAAGTTTTAGTCTACAATCTTCAGGGTGCTGGCACCAAGTTGATGATGTCAACAGCCAACCATCCGCAGACCGATGGTCAGACTGAGCGCGTAAACCACGTCATTGAAGACATTTTACACACCGTCTGTGGTAAGACGCCGAAGCGTTAGGCGCCAAGTAGCAACTTATAGAGTTTACTCTAAACAATGCAATGATGCCATCTACCAGCTACACGCCGTTCTACGTGAACGGGCTTATTAATCCTCGCGTCCCGCTGACGCCACAATCTCATGACTCAGGACTTGGTGGGGGAGGAATAGTTGAGCGGTTAGCTGATGTCAGCCCCCTCACTGTCCTTTAAGAAGACGATGAATTCATTTCACCAGACTGAGTGTCTTATGGCACGTTCGCGATGCGATGGCTGGAAGCAAAGACATGCAGAAAGAATATGCAGATGCAAGAAGTATAGGAAATGTTGAAATCTTTGAGGTCGAAAACCTGGTTAATTTAATGCTAAAAGCCTTCCTACACATGCGTTTCTGCTCTCTTTAAGACATGGTTCCGTCCACGGCTTATCGGGCTTTTAAGGTCGTGGCCAAGCGAGACCTCGCGTATACGCTAAACCTTCCGAGACGGATGCGAACCAGCTCGATGTTTTATGTGGGCTTGCTTGACTGTATAGTGATCCGGCGCAATTAAACGCGGAAGCGTTCGAGCTGGGGCGGCGCCCAATGGCGCCCGGTCACCCAAAAAACTGGTTTTGTGCACAATTTTCCGTTTCCAAAGGCGCCAGGCGCTCCACCGTTGCAAGAAGCGACGCATTCGTCCGATCGTCGGCCAGGAGCCGCTCCAACAGAGCGCGATAGCCCTCAACGTGAGGCAGTCGATGCACAAAGTAATCTAGGTTCTCGAGGGTTCCCGCACAGCGGTATGCGACCACGGCAAGATACTCAGCGCAGTGCCGATGACATTGGACTTTGTCCTTAAGAGCTCAAAGAGCATCCCGGGTCACCGGACGGCGATTGACCAAAGTCGTCATCGCCCGCCACTGACCCTTCGTCAACTATCACTTGGAACGTTCTGTGGGTCAACGTCGTCGACAGGGTCACACCAGTGTCCTATGAAGGTGGAGATACCCAAACACCTAGAGCTCGTTGGAGTTTGAGGTGCCACTTCGGCAAGACTACCCAGACGTCGTGGACGCTTATGATCAGAGGGTCCACGACGCTCCGCGTTGCGGAACGCCCTGCGCTTCTTGGCAGTAGCCCGGTAAGCCGAAGGGCCATGAGCTCAAGCTATCGGCCTGAGTGCTGTGATCGTAGACTCACTCGTGTGAGAAACGATAGAGCTCGCGGGAGCGTGACGTATTAACCCATACGTCGCCGGGCGACAACTAGAAGGAAGTTGGCATTGCGCCTTGAGCTTGGCAAACTCGAGTCGAAGATGGTTTTCTTCGCGCAAGTCCACTTCCTTGTAACTCCACTGCAAGTTAGACAGCGAGGAAAGTTTCTAGTGCCGCTACATTGTCGCTCAAAGAGCATTTCATCATCTGCCGCGGTTTTGCCAGGGGCGAGCATCACAAGAACTGTCGAATCCTCGATGAGGTAATCCGGCGCTCGTGGCAAGCGCGCAGTCCGGTTCCCGTCACCCGGTTGCCGAGGGATTGGGATAAGCTCCCCTGTAGCCGTGGATATACTATCCGGAGTTGCGCGCAGGAACGAAAATAAATTCTGCCCGCGGGAGCCCTCGGAGCCAGCTAGGCTGGGTGTTTTCCGTGTCATGGACATCTAGGAGCGTTAAGGAGTCTTAGACACGCGAACCTCGTACGAAGCGACAGTTAAATGTGAATTATGGGTATTCATAGTTTTGATGGGAGAGAGTGGAACGGGGTTACACGTACTCTGGTAGGAAAGGGTGAGCCACACACGATGATGTGACCGTACAACGATGTGGATTACACAACACCGTGAAATCATACAAAGTGTGGCTACACCGTAACAAGAAGCCACCACGTGGCGTGACTACCAGTAGTTATGCATATTATTGAGGAACACCTAGAGACAGATTCTGAACGGATCAGTACATTTGCCTTGGGTTAAGGTTTTGGGTACTCATGCTCAAACTAGTATAGAACGTTAGGTGGTTTGCCTCAGTATGCTTCCTCTAAGCAAAGAGCTACGGCAGCCCTGCTGTATAAGGTCACAACGTTGCCGAGGTGATAGCCATTGACGTGTGATGCGTTATTTGTTATCAGGGCTCAAGTCAAATTTGTGATGCACTCCCCAACCCGAGGGCATCACGCGTGGCGGGTTCGTATCCACTCGCGGAGTCATTTCATATGTATTTGGTCCGTTATAATTCTGACGGAACCTCTCATTGGCAACTCAAATTAATAAAGCGTACAGATATTCCGATTATTTTTTTCGAGGTTTCGTTTCAAACCCGAGTGTTTGATTTTGAGCTCCCAAAGGATAGCGTCCCATTCTGTGGCACAAAGAGGAAGGTTTTCACCGAGCACAGCTCACCCTTTGCTATGCGTAGCCGCTTTTTGAACCGGCTTCTTCAGACAACGCCAGCCCTGCACACTTTCAAGCCAACGGCTTGGTTTTTGCTGTAGACGTAAAGGGTCGAGAGCTGAGCGAGAAAAATCGTTGAATGTGGCTTTGAGTGCACATGCATTGAAATTACCAGCTTCCATTCACGTTGCATATACAAAGCTTTGATTCAATGAGCCTGCGTATACAACACATAGATGTTGAGTTCGTGCCGAGAGTCTGTAGTGACATGTATAAACTAGTTATTAATTAATACGTATATTTAATTATGCTTTTGATTATATCTGCTGTTCAATTCGTACTAATACGCTGGTTCCTCTAAATGTTCATAATTACACAAAAAAGTCTATTTCGTACAATCGTACAATACTGAATAAAACTACAGTTTTGTATCTTGCACTACTACTGTTCAGGAGTGTGAATCTGTTCGAAAAGTACGTAACTCGGTATGTACCCTGTTACAACTAAGCAGTTGATTTGCTTACTGGGGATAGCAGCCTTCCCAGCCAACAGAAGGAACGGGAGTGGCCAATCTCTCCCACATTAAACTGAATCTTTTTCTGGTGCTGCAAAAGTGACGGACGAGACCAGATTCTGAGTTCAAGTCACCGATTTTGATACCAATTGAGTAGGCACTAGAAACTCTGACCCTTTCCGTTTTTTTGCACACTGTTCCTTGCAATTTGAAAAGAACTCAAATGAGGCAATCGTACTTCATGTCAGTGTCTCTCGCAGCTTTCTCAGCAGCAGCAAGTGCCTCAACAGCGACGCTATCAGACATGACTCAAGCGTCACTTCAAAGTATGAATGGAGGGCTTATGAATGATACTGTCGCTGCATCAACCGTGTTTACAGACGAAGATCGAACATGGAATTTTTTTGAAACTGTCGCCAGAAAGGTTAAATCTCTGTTCGATTCCAACTTCGACAAGAGCATCGAAGGCACATTTGCGGCCAAAGAAATTGATACAGCAAAGTTGTTTCAAGATCCCACGAAGTTGACTAGCTGGCTCAACATTGTGAACGATAAGTATCAAGTGGGTAAATTTTTCATGAAGCAAATGGGTTATGTGGAAGTTTTGAAACAGATTAATGCTGCAAAGCAATTCTCTCATAGCGAAAAAGTTGCTGAAAGCGTTGAAGATGCTCTGGTTGATATACTCAAACTATCACCGTTCAAAGTAGTGTATAGCGAACTGAAACCTTCTTTTCCTGATCCTACTGACCTCGACACGCTGTTATTGGAATCACCGCTTGAGACGCTTATCAAGCTCGCAAAGGCAAAAAAAAATGCTAATGGTGTTTCTGCGGAGCAGGATCTATTCGTCTTGTTACGAGAGGACTTGGGAGAAAAAGTTATATCTGACATCATAGCAACTTATCCGAATATCGGTTCACCGACCAGGCAGTCCAAGATTGCAACTTTTCTTGTAAATAATCAGACTGAAGTGACTAAGGCCAAGACGTTGACTAAAAAGGCGAATCCCGAGTACCTTGACGACGTAAGAAAGCAGCAGTACTCAACGAGTGTCACATCGAACAATCAAGCAAGCCTACCTTCGACGATAAATCGTCCACAGAGACCGTATACAAATCCCGTCACACGCGATGACGTCGAGTCTGACCTACCATCTCATCACATGCCACCATATTCGGACGTGAAAACCCCTCAGATATTGTCAAGCGATGTGCTGAACCCCCAAATTCGCTCTAATCCAAAGCTTCCCCAAGAATCACATTCCTACACTCCACCATCGGAAGGAAAGGACCAGCTAAACCAAGAATCACATTCCTACACTCCACCATCGGAAGAAAAGGACCAGCCGATCTTATCGAGTGAATCTGTCACATCGCCAGCAACATTGAAAGTATCCTCGACACCGTCGGACGCACCATTGTCGAACAGCCGATTTGCCCGATTTCGTCGCTGGCTATCCAATTTTATCGCAAAATTGCTAAGAGTGTTATGGCCCTTCCATAAAAAAAACCCAAGCAATTAATGGTACAGCTTTGCTTCGAGACGACTCGTGTGAAAAAGAGAAAAGCAATGCTTTTGATCTTTAGAACCGTAAATTTGTATATGCGTAAAATGCATAATCATTCCTGTTTTGCTTTTAATTCGATCGTCAACTTCGATTTGTTTTGTCAGCAAACTTCTATAGATCCAACTGCACAAGCTTTAATTTACTCCTGCATTCGCAATGAGCCATAGTCACTTGATAAACTTCCTTTATTTAGCATTAAAATGTGGGGTTTTGCCATAACTGTCAAGTCCATATCTTTAGTGCTATCAATCAGAGAGTAGTGATCTTGGCGTCATGAAATGCGTTTATGCTACGTATTGTCAACAAAGTGCTGCATAAAATGAATATGTTGTCGTTATATCACAAACAGAAATTTACTCGACAGCTTTTTTAATTCAACATATTTGTCATTTGTTGCAAATATGACAGTCATAATTCGAATTGGACCTCACCTGTGTAGGTTGTGTGATGATTACGCATAGTAATAACAGCTGCTTTCCTAGCCAACAGATGAAAAGAAACAAGCCAATAATATGAAACCAACCCACAGTAATATTTTTTTTAACAATCAAGATTTTGGGATAGTACAGATCATCATAGAGAGACTTAAACTGCCTTCTTTTACGTGCTAGTGCTTGAAGTGACTTAAAAGGCGCTAGCAATAGATCTCTTGCTACCTGTATACCTTTAAACACGACTCAATTCCATCGAAATTATAACGATGCATGTTACAGTGTGTAGAAGAGATCAACAAGTCCTGATTTGCGGAAAAATATCAACAAACTGATCCAACATACAGTAGAACATGCTATGATGGGCTCTTTTGATTTCAGTATTGGACGTTTCATCATCTTCCCCAAAGGAGAATTATTGATCCATTTGGTCCATTTGCAAATTTCATTGCAGCCCAGTGAAGAAATGGAGTGCATCAATTTGAGTACAGGGGCGTCTGCACTTACCATAAGAGCATCTGGTCTTTTTGTTTGGGCCTTCATAGCAATTTTGATGCTGTCAGATCTCACTTTACTTATGGCTGAGCGACCGCGCCCGACGCACCAATTGTTGCGAGAGAACTCGTTACCACTGCCGAAGTCGAAGAAGAAAGAATAACATCTTACCTTGAAGTTTTTAAATTTGATCCTTGGAGCAAGAAATACGGCAACATTCAAGGTCCGTATACTGAATTAAAACTTGACGAAGCAGGTATCAAGCTGTTTAAGAGCGATAAAGCCTTGGACGACCTAGCGACATGGATGGAATATGCTCAAAAGAACATTCCTGGAAACTCCAAGTGGGTACATTACTAAAGCAAGAGTTTGCCAACGATATCTACAATTTGTTAAAGGAGATCAAACAGTTAAAAGAAAGCGCAAATGAAAAGCATGTGAAACTTGCAAATGATCTCGAGACGACATGAAAGTCGCTTTGGTTGGATACAAGATGGTCGGTAATCGACGTGCTTAAGTTGATTAATAAGTGGGACGTTCTCGCCGATGTGAACAGCGAAACACAAGACAAAAACTTCGCTGAGATTTTTCCAATAATTATTTTAGAAGACTTCGCAATTGCGAGGTACAAGTCGGAGTCGGATTTAAAAAAGGATCTAGACATGGCGAATGATTTCGAGTTCGATGGAAAAAAGCTGTCAGACTTGATGAAGAGCACCAGGACTATCCCATCCACCATGACCGAAGAGAAGAAGTCTGAGACTTGCATATCGGGCAAGAAATTGAGTTGGTTTCTCGGTAAAGAAGATAAGAAGCAAATGCAATCGTCGAGTGAGGCCTCAAGATCACCAGTGGCGCTTGAATCTTTACCGCCACCCACAAATGCACCTTCATCTAGTAGGCCCATGAAATCGCCAGAATCTGCACCGACGGCATCTCCATCAAACAGCCTTCGAGCCCGTTTACATCGCTTCTTGGCTGCTTTGTGGGCGAAAATACGGGCAATACTGTGGCCCTTTAACTAGATAGAGACAGCTGACGATTTCTTAATCGAGCGTCATTGCTCATTTTATGTTTAAGTACACCGATAGGCATTTCCTGCTTGTCTAATGAAACATGCATATTACTCTGCTTTTGTAGCCAAACGTAATGTCAACTAACCACACGTCAGGTACTTAAGACAACGACGACAATCTTCGTCAAGAGTAGCACAAAATCGGAAACTTCGTAAAAAGTGATAGATTTACCGCTCGGCGGTCCCAAAGATTTCGAAAAGCGACTCAGCACCGAAAAAACACTCTCATAATGGACTTCCGATCGAGTGTTTACGACATTTCGACACGAATTAGCGCTAAGATCATTAAATATTTTAATCGACAAACTAAGTCAATTTACGCATCAAGTTGATCTACGTATTCTTCTTTGTATTTACCGTCTATCAAACGTAGCATTCAACACCATTTACGCCTTTATTGCAGTGTCAAAAATGAGTGAGAGTATCCCGGCGTTGTCTCATTTGCCAACTTCTCCACATGCCGGTGTCAGATCATTCGTAGTGCAAAAGTTATGAAAGCTCGATACCGAAAGCGCGATAATACTTGAGTATTTGCACCGCAGACATGCCAAACCTTTGTAGTGTCGCAAAGTAGTCGCTGAATTCCCCACTTGGAGTCTTCTCTGCGTCAGAATAAATCCTCCACATATATCATTTGACATGTGGTTTGTAATTAGCTATTGCAGCAGGTACGTCACCCACAACATTACTTTGTCTTGGATGCTGCGGTCTAAATATTTTATTTTCAAAAGAGCGATCGCCTTCATCTTTTGTTAAGTCCCACGCTTATAGACTAGACTACTTGTCAAGAAATATTTCGCTAAATTGCGGTCCCCTGACTTCCGATGTCGCGACATTAAAGCTCAAGCTGCACGTCATAGTTGCATTTCAATATTTACTTAGTCGCTCTCATCATTACATAACCAATTGACCAACGTCGAACCTCCGCACGCTTCTATTTGATCCACAATCAATCTAAAGCATCATTCAAGGATAATGAAACCACATTGACAGCCTATCTCTATCGTTGCGATCTAATACGATGAATTGATGTAGCATTACTACAGCAATTTACCATATTCACTTATTGAATTGACTTAAGATCTGTCAAGCTTTACCATGTTGAAAAAGTTGATTGAGTAGATCGCGATGTCTTTGTGCTTGCTTCCATAGCGCTAAAGAATAGTCTCGTTTCTCGTCTTCTGTTTATGCTCAAATGTTAAGATGGAATCAAGTCGAGTTTTAGCTAAAGGCTCTTTCTTCAATTTCATATTAGTGATTGTGAAATACAATGACATATCTCAATTGCATTTAACCACCTGTTAGGTGCTGCTGAGCTAAAATGCATCTTGATAACCCTCATGACTTTGAAGTTGACCTTGTGAAATTTCTATTCATGCACGTCTTCAATGGATTGATTCCACTAGCTGATAGTGGAAATGCATATCATTTGATCGAGCGCGAGCTTCAATAGTGCGACGATTGGGTGCCAAAAAGCTTGTCTTGCATACTTCATGTGGACAACCGAAATTCACTACACCGTTAAATTTTTTCATAACAACGTCCCTCATTATCGATCTGGCTTCCTTTTGAATTAAAGACTAAAGAAAAGCATGTTGCTTTGACTGCTCACTCTTTCGACAACTCAATCTACACAGTACAAATAGCGGGTCATGTGCGAGAGCATGGCGATAATGCGACTGCGTTGAGAAATTCACACGACTGATAGCCAACTTTGTGCATTTTTAAATGAATCCTCGAGTCTATCAGCGATTTTGCCTGACTGATCACGCGATTATCATATTAAGTTGGTGGCCATCTTCTTGAAATCATTTGGCGAGCCTGAACTTGTTTGAAGTGCGCTATCATCTCCAAATTTCGAGTTCTCAGCGTTCATTGAGCAGTGGACGTCGTGGAACGACACAAGCGTAAATATCAGTCATTGTTTGCGTGACGATTGTGAGCAGAATTTGGTACGGTAATTACAAAACAATCTTTTTCGAAGCCCAGAGACGGAATGAGACTTAAGACACCACAGAATAGCTAATGACTTGAAATGTGTTGGACCGGATTCAGAGCTACACGAGTGTACTCGGTCAATATTCTTACGTTGAACCGAATATAAGTGACTTGGGTTGATAGCCATTGACATGAATCTGCTGCGTAACAAACGCGGAAGGTTAAAGTGAAGGAGTTATCAATGATTAGGAATAACCGACGTGATATTTACAGTTATCAGTCGATTCGGACAACAAAGATCAATTAAAAGGCCACAGTAAGGCCCGAAGTTTTGCCCACACAGCGGATAGAATGCGCCTAATTTTGGCAAGAAAAGTGCTCGATTTTGGTGCATCTGGGGGCATCAATTCTAATTTTGAATTCGCCGGCAACGTCATAGCCTCACTCGAAGGTTCTTGTTGTTTTAATGGCCCAAAAGGCGCACCGTGTGGAACCGATGATGCAGAATTGAGCTCCGATATGGAGCTTGCTGGGATAGCTAGATCTTCACCTGACGAAGCTGGCTGCATTTTGGAAGTGGCTGGGGTTATTTTGTCCGGGAAACTTTTACCTGACGAAACTTGCTGCAAATTCGAAGTGATCGGAGCCAAAAGTGTTTCACCTGACGAAATCGGCTGCAGATTCGGAGTGGTTGGGATTACTTTGTTCAAAGGAGTTCTATCTGACGAAAGTGGCCGTGGATTCGTGGTGGTTGTAAGAAATCCGGAAATGAAACTTTTTTTCTTGTTTTCCGGAGATACATCCCATTCTCGAAGGGAATTAACGACGGCTTCAATATTATTTTCTGATTGATTCTTTTGAATTTTTTCTGTAAGTCCCTTAGCACCGCCGAGAAAACTGACGAAATCATTTTTGCGCTCCTTTTCTACGGCAAACTTTACCAAAGTATACATTGCAGGACGACTGAAGAGGTCGTTGTGATTCTTCTTGAGATCGAAGTGTTTAAACAATTGCTTGAACGGTGTCTGTTTCCACGAGTCAAATAGACCCTCCTGGATTAATTTGGCCACTTCCACAGTCTCAGAATTTTTTAAACCCATCTCAATCTGTTCTGAAAGATCGCTGTAACCTCGTTGTGATATTAACAACAAGACAACATCGTGTAGACCCTTCTTCTCAGCACTCTGGCCATCAATTATTGCGCTGGGCGTTTGGCTTTCCTTCAACTGACGCAATTTGATTGCATAGTCGATCAAAGTTTTCAGTCCAGACTCCTTGAACAACTGATCACCAACGTCTTCTTTCGAAAACTTTTTAGGTTTAAGCGTCTCGAAACGTTGTTTCAAATTGTCTGGTGATCTCCTCCAATATGCAAAGAGTGAATTCTCAATAATCTGTGCCAGTTCCTGCTGAGCAGGATTTTTCTTTGCCTTTTCAAGCATTTTTGCAGCTTTCAAATTGCCAACGGAAGAGACAAGCATTTCTCCAATCATCGCATTTGGGTCTTGATAGTCTCCATGATCATGAACATATTTAAAGAATGACGGCAGATCAGGATTTTCAAATAATGGCGTCCCCGAGTCACTCATTCCATTGAGAAGTGGTTGAAAGTCTTTGCGTTCATTATGCCACTCCTCCACTTTACCTCCATCGGCAACTTTTGCGACAAACTCCGAAAATGTACGGTCTTCTTCATCTGCTTTGCCTGATGCGGCATCAGTACTCATGAATCTTCTATTATCACCAAGATTATCGTAAGCAGTTTGTGTTTGCAGCATAACTGGATCAGCATGAGACAAGACACTAGATGATAGGGCTGCAAGGAGCGCTAGCACAGAGAAAGCGTGACCCATTTGAGAGTTTTGTCAGGTATAGACGAGAAAGCCAAACACCATGTTTCTGTGTCACCACTATTAATTATCGATATGTACCGGTTTCTACCTTAGTAAAAGCAGGCCAATCGCATATGTATGTGTATGGAAATTTCCGTATCTGCTGAGATAATGTGGGACGAATGTAACGGAGGAAGAACTGTACTTTTGGGAATAGTACACCTGGACACTAAATACAAATGTAATATATTAACATGAAATTTGGATTGCTAGTTACGGTGATTGTGAATATTCATATGTGCCAAACAAAATACTGTCCGTGGGCTACAATTTTTTTAAATATTATGAAAAATTGTCTTGTCTTTCAAGGAGTATGACTTTGTACCCTTGAGATAACAGAACTAGCTAGACAGACATCTTGTTACGATAGATCTTCTCTGTTTCGCTCCTGGTTGGAACGCAAGAACTCAACTTCTTTGCGTTTGTAAGCGTGGATTTTCCGAGTCAAATCTCCGTCTGTGCACCGCACCCATCGTAGTGAATGTAAGCATTACAATATCGACAAGATAAGTGTGTTGTAGCACTTCATTTATTTGCATTGTTACGAAATATGTACTTTGATTTTGTGGACAAACACCGTATAATTTTGTTTTTTTGTGCTCAAAGACAATTTTGTACAAATGTTTCACATCACACTTTTGTTTCGTTGTGGATTTTTGAAGGTCCAAGGTTTCGGTATAAGTGAAGACGACGGACTTTGTCAAAAAGAGGTCCGTGGATCATTTGTGTTGTTAGCTTTACGCAAGGCGATGTAGATAATTTAGTATTGGGCATAACAAGTATCAATTCTGATACATTTCATGATTGTATGCCACACTTTACATAGAAAAGCAATTTCGGAACACAAAAATGTCAAAGGCTTGAGGTTCCGCTCATGAGTGGAGTGTATTAACGAAACATCTGTGCGCTGTATGCGTGGGCTGTTTAAGTCGAATCTATCTATGTGCAAGGTGCACGGTAATCCTGTTACGCTTGGTAACTCTAATAGTCAATCCAGCGATCGAGTTGTAAAAAGAATGGACTCTCTGCGAGGATGGGACACAAAATGTTCAATTTTATATCGGGGAAATTGGACATGCTTGGTAAGTAAACGGCTCTCGTTGGTCTCGAAGGGGTTGGAAAACTGGCGGCTCGGTGCTTTAAACCGCTCACCAGATAATGCGCTGGTAAGGACACATTTATACACGGCACAACCGAGCTTCGCAGTCGGCTTCCATGATGAAGTTGCTGATGTTAATCACCCAGCATTTGAGAACCAGAGACGATAAAAATATCTCTTTTTGGATCAGCAATGTTGTGATTAAGCATATTTAAGACCATGCTTCTAACAAAATAATGGTTATTCGCGGATGCGTTATCCAAACCTGGATACCACCCACGATAATAGCACTTCAGTGCCTTTGTATGTGGAATGAGTTTATTCAGCATTATTGGACTCACATGACACATTTTGCAGATGTTCGCACCTCGTTCGAGGCGAAACGGGTACGGTACAAGGTAATATTTGAGGCAGGAACTCAAATTCCAAGAAATGAGAGCTCTTATTCCCGCAATGGCGTCAAAACCGCTACGTGGGGCGATAACAGTCACCATCTACATGAAGGACCTTTGGGCAGATGTGGCTTACCACGCTTTTTTGCGGCAACATAACTCTTTAAGGAAGCGGCGGGTGTTGCATGGAATACGGTGTACAGATTATGTACCGCGAGCAGGATGTTCGCCAGAGGCAATAAACCTGAAACGAAATAAAAAAAACTTTGTTGCCGAGCAAAGTAGCTATTAGTAATATCAAATGAGATTCTGCGAGTAAAACAAATGACAATAAAAGTCAGGCTGATTGAGAGATAAACATTATCTGTAAAGTTGTAAGTATGTTCTGCAAGTGGGTCTTGCTAGTTTTAATACGGCAGAAAAGAACATCTTGCTAGGATTAGAATTTGCTTACAATAAATATGCATCAGTCATATTCAGTGACTTGAGCAAGCTAATAACGGTCTTTTGACAACGCATCAGCCAGAGCATTCTGCTTTCCTGGCTTATACTCCACCTCGAACTAATATTCTGCAATGAATGAGAGCCTTTGTTTATCCTCTGCGAGAGGTGAGGCGACTGAGTCGCAGTACGTAGTGACGCATGATCTGGGCAGATCAGGGCATCGAGGCAAGAGCTGAACAAGTGCATACTTCATCGCAAGTAATTCCTTGTTATAGACTGGGTAGTCCCTCTTGAAGCAGATGGGAGCTCGGCGAGAAAGGATGATGAAGACGCTCCGTGGCAGACAAAACGCTTTGAACTCAAACTTTCTCTCTCGATCAAAACTTTAATAATGCTCAACCAGGCTCAAATAAAACCCACGATATATTTGTATAACCGTCAGGAATTTAGTCGTACGATGCGATCCCGTTTCCACAACGACAATTGATGTTCCAGCGTAGCATTATCGTAACATGGGTTTACCATCGTTTAATAAATATTCCCGCCTACTACATATCTTTGTGTGCTTACCAGTCTGGGAAATTGTTATGTTACTTCAATACATCGTGGGTCTTAGCTATTCTGCTGCATGGCGCTCGATCTAATTGGGATGAGCTTTTGTTTTAACGTGTAGCTGTGCTGGTATGAACAAGTCAAAACGCATCGGCAGCCCATCCGTCAAGCCCGGAGTCATTTCTTGATAATGTCAAAGGAACTCATGGGTTGAGCAAGTCATCAATCATGAGTGCCTTAAAATTTTGGTGTTATGAACTGTGTTATCTGAAATAAACTTGACGAGTGGGACATCTCAGTCAGCAATCCGGTCTCTCCGCGAAAGCATTCTTGCGAAAACCTTCTACCCCACAAATAACGTGTTTCGTCAGACAATTTACCTGAGGTTGATAGAAATTGACACATTAATATGGAACAGAACATCTTGAACAACAGTCTCCAAATCTTCACTGAAAGGTATGGATATTGGTCCGACACACTGGCCACATACCTGCCATATAAGACTTGTCGAAAATCGTATATGTATCATCACTCGTTAGTGTATCGCTGACAGCAACAGAAAGAGCCACCTTGCTCAAAAGGTCCACAAAGGGATATTAACAGGATTTCCGAAGGCGTCTTTGAAAGACAAGGAATTGCGTTGGTACAATTAAACTGCCAACAATTTACTGGAGCTCAGCAAACTGAGCGAAGATGCCGGCACATATGGAGGGATTAAATCCATTGACACGTTTCACACATGCTGATTCAATGCTAAATTTGGAACTATGATTAAATATCCCATGAGCACTGATTGTCAATATATATACTAAAAAGCAGTTTGTGACTCTGTGCTACCTCCAACACCGTTGCCTTCCATCCAAAATCCAGCAGTAGTTCTTCTTGATATCCATCCATTGAGATGTATTTTAAATGTGTGTGCCTTTAACGCAATTTAGGATTCACTTCACCAGTTACTTTGTCTGGTCATTGTCGTCGTCGTTGAAAGCACGCAAACAACTGCGTTTTGATCGCTGCTTCGTTTACAGAACTACCACTTGCGCCAGCAATATTCACACCCTTAAATGTGTGTGTATAGCAATTAATGGCTGTTGACCGCGATGATTTTCTCACCAAAGTCACATTACGCTTACTAAGCAGTAAGTCTTTCTCGTCCGGGATTGTCGCTCAACGTGGTGTCATGTGCCTTGTACAGTATTTTGTATTTGATGGTGTCATCACGAAGAGCCACCACAAGTTTATTCAGTGCTGTAATACAGAAAGCCTCGGAATATGAAAATGCATTGCGAAACAACGACAAAGCGGCATCTCAGCTTTCAATCTTCCATCTTCCAAATGTTTGAGCAGCACAACAAGCTCCGTCTAACTCATGAGCTGTTCGTGCCGCCTTATCTTGCGGTACAGTCATTATCGTGCTGTACAAATGTTTATATTCTTGTCGCCGCAAAAGTGCGTTCGCAATAATACAAAATACTATGCACATTAACGTTTGATTAATACACATCACGATGTCTTGATGTCAAATTGATGTACTGAGACCTTAAAATAGTATACTTCAGTTCAATCAGCTCTTGTCATAAATTGACTGATTATCTCTACCGCTTCAAGCAAGCGAGACACAATTACTCATTTATTCCTATTGGAATTTGCTTGGAGACAATTACAGCCTATGGAAGTGGCTAAAGCGCCACAAGCGACATGAAATCTTCCGTTCGAATTTAAAAGTTACACATTTGTCGTACACACGAGGTTCTTTTCCAAAGCTCTAAAGATCGCCTGCTATTCCGCTTCTAGTGCTTTTTGGCGCTATTTTCATGGAAAATGATAGGAAGCGGCGCCATGTCGGCAAAATGGTGCTCATTTTGTGCAAATGAATAGTCAAGTCAAGTCTCTTTTATTACTTCAGTTGAGATGGCTTCGATCGGTTCGAAGTCTGCCCGCATACAAGGCTCGCTTATACTAAGTTTTCAAAATGACGTTTCGTTCGTGCCAAAACGCTTGGCCATGCTGGCGAAGTGCCTTCAGAGCGCATACTCTCTAGCACTGTTTCCAAGGCTTGTTGTGAATGTTGACATTCGACACCTAAGGCCGCACGACTTTGCATGATTTGATGATCAAATTATGTGTTTGCGCATGCACGATGTGGCGTAAGCATTCGTGTCATTGACGGTTGGACATCGCTGTTGTTTCAGACGACACTATTCACCCACTCCTAAAGCATGCGGCATGACGTAATCACTGCAGAGAGAGGGTTGTAACTGTCTTGCTATACCGTTTATTATGACCACCCGCCAGGTCAAGAGCGGTTAACAAGGTGCCAATGGCTATGCTGTTCTTGCAACGCGCCCTAACAGGCAACAGCGGTTGCATTTGAATGGTGACAGCATTTAGTTTATGATTTGCACGAAAAGTTTGCCACTCTGCGTGTGATGCATCATCTAGCTCTACGAGCCAGGTAATCTCGCGAATCAAGCTTCGGTTCGGGGGTAAACTCTACGTCATATTATCTTTCCAACAAAGGATATCGCATCCGTTGGCCTTTGGGGCTGCAGTCTCCCATCGCACCTCAGTGTTTCTGATAACCGACTCGCACATAATGGATGATAAACTCAGCCTCTCTTTCAATGTTCACCGTACCATTTTGATGGTGTCATTGTCTTGCGTCTACACCCCTTCCATCAAGTCAGAGTCTGTGGTGAGTAAAAACGGGTAGGCCCTGGACCTATTTATTCATACAATAGACTTTCTCGCTACGGACCCGCGAAATGTCATTGCTTGTCATGATGTTCTAGTCATACGGTGAAACGGGCTGATTAGAACCAGGGGTCGCGTCAAGAATGGACCCGCACATATTTTATCAGGGCCTGGCGCTTTGTCCGTTACAACAGGCGCCCGTCTGCACCATTAAATGAGTGATGAGGAACTAAACCATTTTGGCTCGTCGTCACGGGGTCAAACTCGGAGCCGTTGTAGAAGGTATTTCCATCCTAAAATTGGGCTGTGGTGACCTCGGCGTACAAAGAAACTATTTGCTAAATCAATGGGCACTTTAGAGACCACGACCAATGGTCGTCAGTTATCGTTTCCCCTGATTACCGCCGCTTCTGGTATCCAAATCTAGCTCGAGGTACCCAGAAAGATAGTTGAGTATTTTGAGACAACTTTGTCTTCTGCCCGAAGCTACCGCACTTTCATACCCGCGCCTGATGCGCTTTTGATCCCAAGCAGATCTTTACATGACTCATCAAAGCTCGATTTGGAAAAAGCGCGTTGTAGATTATCGTTTTGACTTCAGCAAACCCATGACTTGTGGCTTGACGCAGTATTACGTGTTGTCAAAGTCCGAACTCAATGCAAACGCTCAAAAGATCTTCCAGGCTTATGATTAGAGATCGTCACAAAATGCACGAAATATTTTATGTATTTGCTAACTACAACACCTCACCATACTGTCTACGTTTTGAATGCGCCGCGTTTTAGGTCATTACACGATGCATTTTAATGTATTAGAACTTATATGTTTCCACAAAGCCTGAGACGTTCAAGCTGACAGCCAACAGCACTAAGCAAGTAGCTTAAATATGCTCAAAAAGTCACGTCAACGGATACAACAGACCCTAGTTTTAAATCCGTATGCTGCTAAGAGCCTGACAGAACCCAACGTTTGATCCTGGACGTGCCTCGACAACGCGTTCTCAAGGCCATTGAGCGCTTGCATGCGAGCAATTATCGCCTCCGGACCTCTGATCACCACTTCCCTGGTTTTATCGATATTTGGATAGGTCGGTGACCTGCGACCTTGACCAAGCTTCCTCTTAGCGAGCGAGCTACGGCAATCCCGCTGCAGTTAAGATGCATGCTAATTCATGTGAAAAAGATTCACAGATGTTTCGTATGAGTGGGGAAGCTTCGCGTTCCGGCTCTTGCGCGTGAAACTCAAAACATGTTGTCGAGAAGAATAGCTTACAGCTTGTCATGACACGGAGAGTTTAAGATCGGGAGGAGCGTTAGAGTCCTACCTGCGACATGTTTTGTTAAAAGTAGGCGGTGAATGGCATCAATCGTTGATATAAGTGTTGTCCACCTGTATCAATCCATAAGTTTTTGCAGAACCCCATGATACTACAATGATCACCAGCTTGATTTTATTGGGCGATAAGTCCCCATCTTATTGATCGCACTATTATCTATTGACATTTTGGCATTAATAAAGGCAAGGAAAATAAGCCTAAATATTCGATGTACAATAAAGGGGAATTGGCAATTTATCTAGCTTTGATAGGCTAAATAGTTTGATGGGACCGTGTCTTTTTCATCTCGGATGCTTTGCACTGTTCAAGGATCTGCACGTTGTTTCCTCCCTAATCGGTACAGCCTGGCTACGCCATTTGATTTGCTGCACCTCTAATGTGCAGTAAGAATAAATATACGCCAATGAAAAGCTTTGGTCTAATACAAATGTTTATGAAAAACCGGACACAACGACCATCTTTGCCAAAGCAAATCGAGGGTTAAGATTCAGTGCAAGAATATCATCAGGCTCACTATCACAACAAATATGAATGCTCGCATGGGGAATTGCTACTTCTGGCTTGTCTTCCTCGCAGTTGTAGTGTCAGTGATCAGTACACCGACGACGGCAACGCATTACTTGCCGTATGCTGGAACTCGCAGCGATGAAGAGGGCCGTTCTAGAAGGCTGGTAGGTTTTAACGCTGAAGTTAATGGATTCGAAATGATGGTGTCAAAACTCAATGAAGAAGAAGTCGCTAAAAAAATGACGGGGTATATTGAGTTAATCAAGGACAATTCCATCGATATGGCCATCAAGCAACTGAAATTCCCCGATGGTACATCGCCGTTTCTCGATGTCGCAAAAATGATGGCTCTCGTCAAACACGCGGGAAAAGAGGATTTAGTTAATCCGCTGACAAGTTTAGCGCGTCAGCTCCTAGCTTCATGTGGATATGACAGGCTGTCAACTTGGATTGAAGAGGCAAAGGAAGACCCTTTTAAAAGGGAGGTTGCAGAATCTATCGAAAAGGGGCTCATTGATTATATGATAGACCATGACATGTCAACAGAAGACGCATTCAGAGAATTTAATATCGGATTCAACTTTTATGCGGAATCAGAGGCTCATGCACACGAAAAGTTGTTTGTGAACTCCGGGCTGGATATTCTGTTTAGTTACGCGACTGAGCTGAACAGAGGAAAACAAGGCTTAGTGAACGATGATGTTAAAAAGAAGGCTGGGCGAAAAGAGGTGATAACCATTTTAAAGAACACTTTCGAAGAAAATCTTGTCCCCTTGTTGGAGAAGGCGATGATGCTCCCGAATGTTCCTAAGTCTGTCAAAGATGTTGAGACTGCCTTGATTGAGGACTCATTAGGTTTAACCGTCAAAGAATTTTTCGACTTGCTCAAGTTAGAGATAAATGACAGCGATCTTTTAAATCGCCCACTAATGTCCACATTGGTCTTGTTCGTGAAAATGAAAAATGGACAAGTTGACTTCATCAAAATGTGGGATACTCTGGTCAAGGACAATAGAAAAAAGCTCCATACAATGTTGAAACAGAAACCGAAGTTTCCCCAGGACTGGGCTGAGGATGTGAAGAAATGGCTTGAGAATTACAAATCTGAGAGATTTGTTTTGCGTTATCGTGCATCAATGAGCACACCAAAACCTGAAGTGAATCTTCCTCTTCCACTGTCTCCCGAGTCGAAAGTCCAAGTCACTGATATTTCTTTTCCATCTTCGGACACGAAGCACTTGGTATCATCGAGTGATACCTCTACGGGACCTAATTCAAAAAGTCCAGGTAATATTTTACCTCCATTGTCTTCTGAATCGATGGGTCGAGTCGATAATCTCCCTCCACCGTCTTCCGAATCAAAGACTGAGGTAGATAATCCCACTCCACCGTCTCTCAAATCGAAGATTCAAGTTACTGATATATCATCTACACCTCCGGACGCGAAGCACTTAGTATCGTCAAGTGATACCTCAACGGGACCTGATTCAAAAAGTCCTGGTAACATTTCCCCCCCCAAGTCGTCTGGACGATTTTATGATCTCCGTTCACTGTTTTTGAACGCAAAGAAGGTAATGTCGTCGAGTGCTACCTCCACGGGACCTAAATCAAGTTTTCATGTTGAAAATATCCAGCGACCATCGTCCGAATTAAAGACTATGGAAGATAATTCTCTTCCACCGTTGCCCGAATCAAACGCGAAACACTTGACATCATCGAGTGATACCTCTACGGGACTTAATCCACAAAGTCCGGGCAATAGTTTACCCTCATTGTCTCTCGAACCAATGAATCGAATTGATTTATTTCCTCTACCGGACGCCAAGAGACCTGAAATAAACTTTCACGTCGAAAATCCCCCACCACTATCTCCAGACGCAAAGAAACCACTGTCATCGAGTGAAACCTTCACAGGACTCAAACCGCAAGTTCGTTTGGCTTTATCGCCTCCATCACCTCTGATCAAGATGAAGGAGCTTATGTCGTCGGGCAAAGCCGTAACATTTACAGCAGAAGTTGAATTGAATCTTCGACAATCGCCATCTTTGAAATCGACGAAGGAGCCAGTCATGTCAAGTAAGGCTAGTGATACTTCAACAGAAACCGTTTCAACACCGCTACTTTCAGGTGCACCTCTTTCGGACAGTCGATTTGCTATAATTCGTCGCTGGCTGTTAGCGTTTTTGAAAAAACTGCGTGCGATTCTATGGCCATTCAGCAAGAAAGAAAAATCAATTTAGATTGATGTGTCAACGTCGATATAACCAGTTGAACCGTTGTATGTTTGCTTTAATTAAAAAATCAATACACAACATTCATGCTCTTAGTTCCGTACCACTTCAAAAAGGCGGTTGCAAAGCTTTAAGTTACTTATGTATACGAAAAACTCCTAAGCAACTGGGGACGTGGCATTGCTTCGAGCATGTTAATCATCGCGTAAATAATGTCAGAATCACTTCAGAAACGACGTGCGGCTGAAATGTATGTTACGCATGAAGACACAGATATCAAACATACAGGAAGTTGGAAATTAAAATTGAGTACTCAGCGCATCCAAATGCTTCCCAGAGTAAATTGATTCAAGCCGTGCTGACGTACTCAGTACCACCTTGATAATATGGAGAAGGAAATGATAGTAATTTATATAATTGACATGACATTTTGCAGGGCGTGCTTAGGTTAAATCGAAGCGTAATTGTATCCATAGAGCTGCGGTGATACTAGCGGCAGTAAGATTAGCAACATTGAGGCGCACATCTGAGCGCTTAAAATTACTGCGGAAATCGCACACCAAAAATAGTGAGGAGCCTTAAATTGTATATATCACTGTTAGCTAAACTAATAATTACCGCTCGAATTTTAAAGAAAACGCGATTTCTTCGCAATTCGTGTGACTAAATTTTTATGATCCCATTCCTGTTGAAAGATACTGCTGCTGTTCCCGTATATCGATCTAGTATACTTAGTGATCCTTCTAATGCATGTTGCTAGCGCATGTAATAAGGCTATATGGCTACACAAAATGTCACTGCTTTCATTATCCTTAATCAACTGAGAACATTCATATTCCATGAAATTGAATAAACTTTTAGAAGGCCAACACTGCTGCTGCTGTCTATTATGAAGGTAAAGATGCTATCAACGCTAGCGCAGAAGGAATGAGTGTGTGTATATTCAATTTGACTTACCGAGACATGCATGAACTTTACAAAGCCTTATCAAAAGTAAGTAAGAGTAAGACGTAAATGAAAGATGAATTTTTGTTTTTTTTATTTGTAGAGGTTAGAAAGCGAAATCTACTCCATTACCGCTAGAGTGGTCGGATTTGAAGACGCGGTTCATCATGCTACTAGTGTATCATTCTGCTAATGTCCAGCGACGACAAGTACAAACAAAACTTACGTGCGGTGGTAGAACGGTCGAGCTTTTTTCAGATGCTTGAAAAAATTATCATCACTAAATGGCGCCTTAGTTCCAAACCACGTTTTTTCCTGGAACAGGTGGCGAACGCTTGAGGTCATGTTCTCCCACATGATTAGAGGCTGGAATTCTCCAGGATTGTGGGTTCCCTTGAGGTAGTGGTGGCTGATGCCAATCCACGTGTACTTAAGTTTGAAGCTGTTTCCACTCACATAGTCAGACCGAGGGGGATTGTACGTTCTGTAACTCCACATTCCACTTGCTGCAACTGCAAGAAGTTTGGGCGTATCTGACGACACACCAATGTAAACGATAGCGTGCTCCCATCCGTGGTTGTGGCCGTAGTAGACGGGCGTGATCATGGTGTCTCTTGGGAAATACCAGGCGTACATGACCTCCCAAACATTCGTATCAGAGTTGTAGAATGCACGGCCATAAACTTGAGAACCCTCCTTTGATCCGTCACACGAAGTTGCCCAATGAAAAGCACTTAGACCTCCACTATAGTAACCATCCCTATCAATCGCTGGGTATGGATGACACCCACTAGCGATGTGAAGCTGTGGCTTGAACATCAACGCGAGTTCATTGAGAGGACAATCAGGCTTTACCTCGTCGAAGGGCCGAGCCTTGTCATAGGCGACTTTTTGTGCGGTGACTGACACGAAACAGCTTAAAAAGGCTGCACAAATGCTCAAGACGCGCATTGTTCGTCGGAGAACGGAAAAAATTGGAAATGAAAGATGGGAAGGCCATCGCCATAAAGAACGCAGATACGGTGCATGATGGCTCCCATCTGTTCTGATGGGCTTCAACTATTTATACTATTCGGGATCAAGACCAGGGATGGTATGGAAGCACAGAAGGCTACATGGTTCAGAACCATGCGACATAAATGTTTTCTAGTCTGATCTCGAAGCATGTTAGAATTTGTTTATGGAGTTCTCCATAGGTACGGACGGTATGTGGGCATTCATATAAAAATGCTGGATGCTTGCAGCACAGCTGGTTGCACTCAAATCGACATCCGTTCATTATGGAGCTCGATACCACGATAGGAACCAGAATTTAGAGGCAGAGGACTCTGACCTGGATCATCTGAATACATCATTTATCTCAACAAGCGTAAGATGCTATGACAGTATAGTATCATATATATTCGCCGAAAAGTCTTGTTAGATTCGGCAGATACTTACTCAAACGCACACAAATAGGGTACTCTTATTACAATAAAGGTTGTGATTGTAATCAAGACTGAATATTGAAGACGCCCGGCTAAAGATGATTGTATACCCACAAGGAACGCCAACAAATAGGTTGTATTGTCAGCTATGGTTAATGCACATCTTTTAAAAATAGCGTGGTTGATTAACGAAGGTGTAGTCGGTACGAAATTGTAAGGTGCTGCGTCACTACAGAACACTGAAGTGTAAAGAGTACTTTGTTAGATGTGATATTGTGTTTTTGATGTATGAATCCCATGATTCCACTGGTTTAGTCCACGTGACATATGAGATTATACCGCCGTTTAGTGTCTTCTTTTGACTGCATCCAATCATTCTAAACTTTAAGTAGCTGGATTGTCGCTGAAGATTACCACCGGCACAATAACCAAATGCTATTTATCGGATTACATGCTCTATTCAACACCGCTCTCGGTGGTCTAGAATCAAACAGAAAGCTATTGCTCAGCATTTCATAAGATTGTGCGTCAAAGCTTTCCTTTCTTCTTAATGAAATTAACAGCTGTTCGAGCAAATACGTATGGTGGCAGGAATAGTTGCGCTACAATCTCATAAGTTTATTGTGTTAATCCATAGATCGGTGGGTGGGTGAGAACATGGTCTACTTCTTATCGGGATACGTGATTAACTTAACTGGGAGAGAATGTAGCAATATTTATGTCTCTATATCACTTAAATGGCAAATAAATAATCATTTCTTACCATCCTTAGTATAAATCAAATAAAAAATACCCGAAATTGGTCTGAAATTTTGATTCATAGACTTACGAATGAGTTACATCACAAAACATACTCCTGACACACTCAGCCTTTTTAATTTCTCTAACCTGAAACTATTGCAGATCTATCGACATCCATTCCATGTCTTGAATCGCTTGACTGGCTTGCCCGCCACTTTCCCTGCCCTTCCGAACGAGTTTTCTACAGGGCCTTTTCAATTGAGAATGCGCAAGCCCAACAGTGAGAATAACATCCATCAGATCCTAGTTGGACAGCTTAACGTTAGCCGTTCTGTAAGTCTTTGCGGTACATATATTGCATGACCTGGTAGTACAACTACTAACTCATACTGACGTTGTTAGTTACTTTAAATAAATGGGTTTATTGACAGAAAATATTTGCGAGCTGTGATACAATTACTTTTTAAGCGCCATTGATATGAAAAATACGGGGAAGGTCAACAGCAGAGTCTATCTTTCAGGCACATGTAGCAAGAAATGGAGTGGATCATTTGTCCTCCATAACGCACAAGCAGATTTCCACATCATGTAGCTACTCATACTACAACCTCGCAACTCGAAACTAGGCCGCTAACGCTCAGATACACAGTCTCAAAGAACCTTTAGCAGCTTAGGTCAAATTGTCGATCAGCATTTTCCACTCGAGAACAGCACATCGGTTATATGTACCATTGACATCCATATACACATGCATCGTTTGAACGATGTCACTAAATATCAATATCTGCATCGCTGTTGCATCAGTATATGATGTGATGTTGTTTAGTGGCTAGTTTGAACTGAACAATCCTGACTTTGAGACTGTGAATCTGAGCGCTAGCGGCCTAGTTCGGAGTTGCGAGTTTGTGGTGTGGGTAGCTGCATGATGTGGTAGTCTGCTTGTGAATTATGGAGGACAAATGATCCACTCCATTTTTTGCTGCATGTGCCTGAAAGATAGACTCTGCTGTTGACATTCCCCGTATTTCTCATAACAATGATAATCACATCCCGCGAATATTTCTATTCGTATCACCTTTTGCAATAAAACCTTAAGAAATTTGGGGTGATGTTGTACTCTGAGGATTTATGTTTAAGTACATAAAGTAGAACTATCGACAGGGTGTTGTGACTACTTTGAGTCAGTAAATTGCTTGTCTTAATCATAATATTCAGTATTTTGTATTGACGTGACCGTCGATATCGAACCTCAAATCATTAGGTGCTTTGTACTTTACTCCTAGCTAAGCTCTGTCGGATCGTGATCCTACCTCTGCGAGAAAAGTAAAGCGCTTTAAGCGCAAGCTATAATCAGATAAATGTTTGGTGCTGAACATGAGATCGTCCAAGCAACCTAGTAACACACTTACTAAGCGCCTTAGACATTACTCAAAAAGCAGTGTATAATTTTACGATGGGGTGGAATGTATATATCGTATAATGCGGTCTAACATTTTCCAAACTACTTAGCAACGGTATAGCTTTGTGCCTTGGGCTTAACCGACTTCAGATTTCAAAACCAAACGAAAGTACATATCGTAATATGCGGTCTTTAGGTGAGGCAGGAGTTATAGATCGTATATCGGGGTGACAATCTGCTAAGATGGGTGATAGCGATGTTATGCCGCGGTTTTCAGAGTGTATCGGGATAAAACGCTTCTTTATAGCTGAAATCGTGGTCCCTGCTAATAGATTCTGGTTGACCAAGTGATACCAATTGTGACTTGCGGCTTCTAGGGTTTGTTTATGCGAAGACTAGTTCGCTATGTATTGCGGTGTTCAGAGATTGACTTAATGAAGAAGGGCAGTTAGGTGAAGTATATGATACAAGTGACAGTATGAATGGTCATAGCTCGTTACAATGTAATAATCCGCTGGTTCAGCGCGAATGGTGATCCCTAACAACACGGAGTGGAGAACCCTCACGGATCAACGATAAGCAATCTTTACCAATTAGGTGTGGGAAATCATAGAGGATGTAATTTACATCAAAAACTCTGGGTAGAAGCTCCTATTAAGTAAAATTGACCATGTTTGAAGTGTTTATATAGGGTTGCCGGAATAAACGCCAATCTGGGACAGTTGGTCTCAACAAGAAGCTGATTCCATTTTCTTAATCAGAGCAAGTTTTTCATCGACAAATATCGCAGATCATTTCTTCTATGGGGTCAACGGGTATACTCAAAGATTAAACGTATCATTTCTGTCAGCTTCTGGATAACGGATGGTGTGGCGGGCCTCCCACAGCGTGTGTAGCCTTCAGAACTGACCGTGTCAGTGAGCTGATTTTATCCATAAAACGAATATTAAATCACCGCAATTCGCATCGATAAGATACGATGTTACTTTAAAGTTGCTTTGCTGGACGCGGATTGAGAAATAGAGGATATACTCTCACTCGGTGTCGAGTTGCAATGTTAAAACCGCTAACGACAAGCTACAATCCGATGCGCGTGTTTCTACTTATAATTCGCTGAGTCCTGACCAGAGCAAGCTATGCAAAAGTAAATCGGATGCATTTTGTTGAATGCTGCAGCCTTCGGTGATAAATCTGGTCAACTGTTCTTTAGAGAAAGTGATATATCCCGCTGTAGTTATTTCTGAGGCGTTGCTCACCATTCCAGTCGTTTTGACGATATATTCCTTCATAATCGTTCCGGGCACGAGAAGCCGGATGTCAAGAACCATAACAAATGCTTGCAAGTGTTTGGGTGAATATTCTACGACAAACGTTCTTTTGCATGTAGTGTAAGTCCATTTTAAAATGTTTCATTTTAACCGAGGTCGATGAGCTCTGCAAATACCAATGCAAGTGAAGAACCACATTAACCCGTGCGGGTGGACCTCAAGTATATGTGCTTGCCCAGTCTGTTAATCAACCAAAAGTATAATTCTTATGATACAGGTTATGCTATGCTTTCTTGGGATGCACGATTTAATGGCATATCCAGCAAAGATCCAAGTATTATGAATTTGATACTATCGTCGATTCTACGGAAGCTGGGAATATGGCTTGGTTTGATTAATGACTTGTTCAAGTGTTGTTCAAACAATGTTGACATAAGGTGATTCATCATTATTTTCTTAGAGTGGTCAGATGATTCCGGGGAGTAGCGGAAGAGGTACCCTTCAAGGATGTATAAATAGCAATATCTGCGCTTCAATAAAGACTTCTTCAAATTCATATCAACGAGACCATGTCAACTGAAAGTTTTCGTCCCTTGTAAGAAACTGTGCTATACGTCACGCTGATGTATATGGTCATAAACACGTCACCGCGTTTGAGTCTCGCCTGTTTGGAATAGTAGCTAAGAATAACTCTATTTTAGCTAATGATCTTCTTGCCATTTTGCATATTTGGGCATAGCGAAGAGTACTCCTGCTCGGTTGTAAGTCAATTAGGATCCTATATAGATAATGCATGTCTGCACACAACGACGTCGCTACCATATCATCTTAGGATGACAAGATGTGTGTCCGGTCAACGTGTAGTGGTTGTTCATCTGTGTCTTCAAATAATTTTCTATATTATGTCACGATGATGATGTCGCGCCTGAGAGTGGCAACAAGCACCGCACGCGTGTATGGTGCAGCGATAACATATCTTAGAAGACTTTGACCACCAAAGCTACATTTTTCTAAAATGTCAGTCTCTCGAGATTTTGGTTGCACAAATTAGTATCACAGGGCTTGTTGAATTTCATGTGTGTACCCCTGATGAACAGAATGGTGCACGATCAAGACTATATTTTAAAGATAGCTGTCATTTGATCAAACTCTTGCTGCATGCTTCAGTGCCGTTCGTCAGTCTTCAAAGTGTGCTTAAATGCTGGTAGTCTATGAGGATCAATCAGCGAACGCTTTTATTCTACTATTGAATCTAGTATCAGACTACTTCTTTCAATGAAAGTAGTACTAAGTTATCTAGATTATAAAATTGTAGGGTGTCTCGCGAACAACGCGAAAAAAAAAATAACTTTGCTGTCACCATTCTAATGACGTTCGACTACAGTAACATCGCATCTCCAAAGAGGCTGGAATATGACATATTCACTAACTAACATCGAAACAGGCTAGTTCGTGAGTTTGTTGCATTTGCTGGTTCTAAACCCCCATAACTTCTTCGAGTATTCGCTGGAAGCAACAATGGTGTCCCACAGATCTCGATTGAGCGCGACTAGGTTTGATGAACTTTTTATTCGTTCATGAGTACACAAGAGTAGAATTTTTCTTAAGTTGCGATGGCCGCACAAGTTACACCCGTCGAGACTGATCGACAGTTTGTCGTGCTTGCCATTCCGAAGCAATGTGGTCATTTGCAGGATGGTAACTGTGTGTCAATTTCAAGCTCACCATATGCAATACCTCTATTTTCAAGACATTGCTGGTATATGTGATACAAAAGTTACAGCTGTCGCAACTCCGCTTATTTAGGCTAACCTAGCGCTCTCCGCCCAGCAAACGGCTGAGCTGTTCACGCGATTCAAATTATCTTAGCCCCGGGCGCAGACTAACAATTCATAACATAGATGGTAGATTCAATTTTTATCGAAGGTCTCCATCCGGGTGTAACTATCATCCAGCTACTTAAGTACCTATTTAGCGGTGAGAGTTATTTTTCGTCACTATTTTCTCTATCTGATGATCGCGTTTGATCACGACTCAGTTTATATGCATCTTATTTGCTTACTAGTCGAAAATAGGCTCGAATTGGACAATGTCAATATTGTCGCATCGAGATCGTGTGTGAGTACTAAATATAGAATTACAATTGATTGCGCGGTTGAATTTGCAGGTAGATCTCGATGCTTATAAGTCGATAAAAGTCTGCCATTGACGCATAAGTTTAGAGCAACTCCTGTGTTCGAGCCGTTTGCCATTCTGAGAGTTCCGTCTACTATTGATGATTAGGTTATATACCCACCTGCCTTGCTAATAAATAATAGTATACCGCCCTCCTCATATGCATGCTTTAAGCACACAGATAACTCATTCAAACTCCATCTCAGCTATGATTCTCTCAAGTCACACGCGATTACACCGATGGCCAAAAATTTCCTAACCTCTAATCACCCCACGGTATCGTCTTCAGCTTAAGAAAAACGTAGGAGCGTTATTGCAAGGCTTGCACAAAGCAAATCTAGATGTGAGCTTCAAGTGTACGCTCTGCATGAGACCATCTACTGTCTATTTTATCGTACGACTCAAGGAGCTGCCGAATAATGCAAGCGCCTGTTACAGACAATATCAATAACTTATCTGGTGAAAAAGGCGTGGAGTTATTTACAAGTAACTGAAAGTATCTCGACTCGCCGCTTTCGTATATCTAATAATTCCACTCTTGACTTTTCGATCGGGCTGTATCGATGAAGTTTTGAGACCTGGGCGTTTACTCTCGTGTAGGCTGCACGCATCATGATCATTAACCACAGCGAAATAGGGTCACGCATTTCGATACCGATCGCATATTGAGACCGGTGTCAAATGATTTGCATCATAGTCGCTAAAGTAACGCGCTGCTCGGCAAGCGCCGGTGTCACAGCGAAACTTAACACGACCAGTAACAGCTAGATTATGTTGATGCTTTCGTTAGGAGCAAATCAATCGAAATGAAGCCGTCTCGATTTTAATCATAAGCTCCTTAAAACTTTGTACTGCACCTATCATACCGAATATGGAATAATTTGGAAGCAAGTTAAATATATTTAGATAAAGCTAAAAAAATCTATACATCTGAGGTTATTTATTTTCTGCGTAGTAGTTGCAGAACTTAGCTGATAGCAGACTCAAATGGAAAGGAATAATAGGTTGTCGACAAAAAAGAAGATTAAATATGCCAATTCAGCTGTCTCATATTATGAATTATGGTTAATTTGTACATGCTTGTGATCTTTTTTAGGAGGGAATATGGACCCGAATATGATTTCCTAACATTTCCTTAGCTGTAGAGCAAAATTTCGACACTATAATGAGTTATGTTGCTCAGTACTTGTAAGGAAATCGACGGGGAAAATTTGTAAAGAATGAACTCGCGGGAGGGTGGTGCGAATAACAGTAATAGTATTGATATTGCGTATGGGCATACTTAGTTGCGATCTTTCTGATTTGATCGTGTAAAAGTTTGATGCGAGTCTTTTAATTGTATTAGTAGGGCGCTGAGTCACAATAATCAAATCTGGACCTTGTGTGAGCACTAGTTCACAGCGCGCAGTGGATTATTCGCTACATACCTCCGACTTGGCGATATTGACGAAGGCTCATGAAAGCTTGCCCCCCGCGGGAAATACTCCCGAAAATTGGCGTCTTACTGGGCCTTTTTACAGATTGTATTCATCGAGACCAAGTCAATGCTGACTAGATTATCCCTAAATTTGTTCTGTCGGGCAGACTGCCGAATTTCTGAAAAGGTAAACCTTTCCATCTACATGTGTCCGACTTGATTACTCTGAATATGAATGGCTAAGGGCTTCATGGTCGCATCGATTCATACGGTGTAACTATCGAACTTCACGCCATGGAAGGAACGCTGTTTCTGACCAAAGTTCAAAATCGTCATTTTCGGCACAAAACTGTTTGTTATATGGTCCAAATACTAAGAGACAGAAATAGCGCGCTCAAATAGCCACCTGCTGACTGAATAACAGCGATAAAGGAATACACAGTCAAAGTACGCTGGTGCAAATCTTGTAAACGGTCTAAGGGGTAGAAGACAGGCAGATTACCGGGACGATGCAAGATCACCATTAGATAAGTAGACACTTCAAAAGAATATGTTTATCGCTGTGGACAAGATGCCGAGCATTCGCACCCAACATCCCACATCCATCTTCGAAAAGCATTGTTCATCGTGCAGCTGATCATGTCGACCGACAACACATATTTGCTAAGAATTTGGTTTGTGAAATCAAGGTGGCAGTGTTCTGTTTATTGTAAACACGAACTTGATCTGCTTGTTTTCTTACACCAATCTAGCCTATGCTCACTTTGCAAAATGACGTTAGTGCGTGAATATGCGATCGTTGTCTTGTGACATTAAAGTTATACACACAAGATCGATGCCATGTTCAACAGTCTTCATAGTGGGAGTCGAGTCGGTGGGTTCGTTGAGCCAAACGTGTTATTGGCTGCAACGAAAGCAGCAGCTCCGAACATACAGATCTTTTGTAGGTCACTTTTACACGAGTGACATGATGTCTCAGCCCTCACACAATACCTATATCAGCTATGGCTTGCGCGACATATTGTGTTGCAGAAAACGCTTACCCACACAGAGAGCGACCCATGTGACTCAACAGCTAACCTCTGTCCCAATTTTTATGACAGACAACATCCTTCGACTCAGTGTACAACTAAGCCACATCCCTTGCATTTTCCAAGGCAGATTTCTGCCGCATCTGTACTGTACCAGCAATGTAACGCGGTGCTTTCTAACATGTGCCCTTGTATGTGCCAGGAGCTGGTGTAGCGAAAATTGAACGTCTGTGTACAAACACTGTCTGAGCTAGGTTAAGGTCAGCTGACACGCCCCACCGCACGTTGCTCGCTTTCAGCGGACCCTCAACTTACGTAGAGGGGGAGGTGAAGTGACATTTATTATTATAGTCGATAGGCTTTTAACCTACATAATTGATATTTTTTTTGTTCTGATACAATAGAAGGAGATAAACAACTACATAGGGTGTACAATTAATGTCAGATACAAAAATCATGTGATATACCCAACATATATGATGGGACTTGCCTAACTGCATCGCCCTTCACGCACTCTGAAGTGAGTTTACACATCATCTCAAATTTTTGATACTTTTCTTTCGATGCTTCTTCTGCTCTTCATACCTCTGCCAGACTCTCTCCAGAGTGACAACGCACACGCTTGCTTCACGGTGAACTTCGTTACCATCAAACTTGAATTTTAAGCCAATACTACGTCATTCAGCGCATTTGCGCTATCGTGAGCTAATAAGTCATGCTAAAGTTGACGAAAGACGGGGTGGGTCCACCTTAGATTTTGTCGAACTCTTTAGTAGGTTGTATGCTCGACTGATGACGCGAGTCACGTATTTTTTTGGTCGTCGGGCCGATTACTCGTGCTGAAGACGACCCACAAAGCTTCAAATCCACTTTGGATTGCATCCAGACAACCGACACTCGATTCTGGGCATATGAGACCAAACACGTGATTATTCACCGTTTGCAAAGCACAAACACTGTTGCTGATTTGCTGAAGGTGTGCGATTAATGCTTTCGAGTTGCGCGTTTCACAGCGCAAAATCGGGTTCGCTCTGATATTGAGGATGTTCGCAAAGTGCGCTCGGTCATCGATCAGCTACACGACGATGAGTACAGGGGCAGAAGAGAATTGGGTAGCTTTTATAAGCAAAGTCCGAATTCGAATCCGCGTCGAGCGCATGAATAAAACTGAGTCAGTCGTGACGAATTCGCGCTCAAAACTATTCTCACTTGCTGGATTACCCTGGCATTTTACTATGAGCTTCTTTTAACCGCGGTATTCCTCTCCGCCACCACTTTTCATCGATTCCCTTGTTAATTTGAGGAATAGAGGTGGCCGAGCCGGCTTATCTATCTGCTTTTTCTGTGTTTGATATACGGTCTTTGTCCGCCCCGAATATGCGTTTGACAGAGGTGGAGAGGCTTATCTCGCTGCTAATCAAAGGGCCAATGTTCGATCGCGTGTCGTCGAGTCGACAACGCGTGGATGATAACCGACAGGACATTCGGAAGCTTGGGACTTGGCGTGAGGATCGAGTCCACTGATTAGTGCAGGCTATGCAAGCTACATCGCCTGTTGCGAATGCTTTCGCTGACGACAAAGGATTACTTGCCATACGGTCTCGTTCTATTTCTGGCGCTCCCAATTATTCTCGTCAGCTAGGGGGCGATAATGAGGCGACGACGCTAATGTGTTTAAACCTCGACCCTCGTGCCGAGCAACGCATCCAGATTGAAAATTGCATCGTCGCTATTACAGGGCTTGAGCAGCTCTACGTAGAGCGTCGGATTGGTTCTTAACCAGCTTGACAGGTCGATATTGTACGCATTTCCATGGTATGACACTACTCGGATTAACCGATGAAGTGGAAAAAAGCTTTGAGCGTTTCGAGCTTGAGACCACGTCGTCTTATAATTCTTTGTACTAAATCGTAAATAATCATTCAAAATAAAATACAATTTGCCTTAACGACCACGTCTATCTGCGAATTCTTTTTGCAGATCTCGCCCACTCGCCATTGCGTCTTGCATCCGTGAAATCACTAATTACAAATGAGCCATGTCGTCTTTGTATTTGCGCTTCACATGCGCGTCATGATCGGAAAAATCTAGGAGACAACGATTTGCCGAAGCTCTTCCCCATCTACATAAGAAATGCCCCTGTCACACAAAGCAGTAATTGCGGGAGTCGCAAACCAGCTATCAAAAAAGCGTAGATCCAGTGAATGACTGAGTTGAATTATTCACTTAGAACTGAACAAATGGGAAGAAGACGCTTCATTTCTCGAAATTTTCCACACATAAACTTCTCAAAACATCACCGATCACTCGCTTGTTTGCCCATCGTACCGCTGTGAGCATATCCAAGCGAGTACCAGAAAATTGAGCCAATTCTTTCCGAAAGCCACTCGCAAGTCATGTATTACGATCAGAGATGATTATGTCTGGCAGCCCAGGATTGTACGACATATGATCAATGATCAACCCAGCCGTACCTTCGGCACCGATGGAATCGCTACACGAAGCGATGCGATTCATCTCGCTGTGTCTGTCAACCAAGACCACGACCCCATCTCGACCGTCAGCATTCTCGAGGGAGTTGACAAGAAAGTCGAAACTGAAAGGCTTCTAACAGGCAGTAGGACTGCAGTGGCAAATGCGTGTGACTTGCGCTCTTCACGCGTTGACAGACATCGCATGTCTTCACGTACTGTACAGCCTACTTGTACGTGCGGGGCCACCGAACTTGAGCACTGATAAATTGATAAATAGTCTCACGGTCAAAGCGGCCATCAGCGTAACACGCGACTCGAACAAAATCTTATCATTTGAATCATTGTTGTGGGGAAATCCAATCCGTTCCACGTCGCCATGTGCAGCTTCAAAGTAAAAGACACCATAATGTGATGCATATCGATACATCCGTGATCTCATGTGAGCAGGAAGGTGGTCATGGAGATTCGTATCACTCAATGACAGTCTTCTGATGCTCAGATCACATCGTTTTCAACATACGTTTGACATAGCAGATCAAATACATCGATTTGGATATAGGTAATATGAGCTAGTTCGTAATCCAGACGATGTGTCAATGCGTCAGCCGGTACGTTCAGCTACCCGGTTCATACGCAACAGCAAAGTTGAATTCAGCAAACAAAGACAACCATCGATCCATTTGCTGTGACAAGTGAGGTGGATGGCAACGGAGATGAACTCAAGA